AAAAATTAGATTACTTTAATTGAAAATTGTTTACTGTCACTTTATGAAATTTAACAATTCATTGATTTCAGAGTTTAAATTACAATTCTACATTTGTTTTACTAATTTTCCTATTTTGCATATTACAATGATTGTCGATGAGAATCCAAATGAGAGAAGATAGTATTTCTTCTGTTGCTTGTGACAAACATCAGGTATTCTTCCATAAGACAAATCTTGCTGAATTTTAGTTCAATCTTACAGTTCTCATTTAGATTCACAATCGTCAAATATTTTTTCGTTTTTTGTATTTTATGTATGAGATTCAAACTGCTTATTGTTTTAACGAAATTTAGAACAAATTTATTTGAACTACAAAATAATGGATAATAAAATGATTCTCTACATTAAACTATCGAATACTTAAATGAAATAATTTTTACGCTTACATAACTGATCCACAATAGATTACTTTACATTTTTATATACATATACATTAGTTAATCTATTTTCCTTCAAAAATAATTCAAAGTTTTATTTATGTTTGCAATCCCTTAACTATGTCGCATATATTCTAATATGTTCTATTAAACTATATTATGAAAATCATGAAAAAGAGAGAGAGAGAAATCCTTCATCTGCGAATTTTATTTGCAAAATCTGATATATATCTAAGTTATTTCATTGGCAGCATAACAACATTAATACAATCACATATTATATTAAGATAATACTATCTTCTGGAATTAACAATAATCCATCCTTATTCATATAAAAATTAGCTCTTACTTTAAATTATGGTTTCCATAATATAATCCGAAAGGTTTAATTATTTTGCATTCTCTGTTTTTCCAGTAAGATAACAAATAGTTCGTACTTTGTTTCTTTACTTACACTAAATGAAATTAAGAAAAGATTTATTCATCTTCTGTATAATTTAGCCCACATTTGGCCCCCTTTCTTTCAAATTTTAATTTTTAGAATAATATACAATTTTTTTTATTTTTTTATTTTTTATTTTTTGTAGAATGTGGTTGAAGAAGAAGGAAAAAATTTCAGTCTATGTAAAAGTTTTATTTATGTTTGCAATCCCTTAACTATGTCGCATATATTCTAATATGTTCTATTAAACTATATTATGAAAATCATGAGAGAGAGAGAGAGAGAGAGAGAGAGAGAGAGAGAGAGAGAAATCCTTCATCTGCGAATTTTATTTGCAAAATCTGATATATATCTAAGTTATTTCATTGGCAGCATAACAACATTAATACAATCACATATTATATTAAGATAATACTATCTTCTGGAATTAACAATAATCCATCCTTATTCATATAAAAATTAGCTCTTACTTTAAATTATGGTTTCCATAATATAATCCGAAAGGTTTAATTATTTTGCATTCTCTGTTTTTCCAGTAAGATAACAAATAGTTCGTACTTTGTTTCTTTACTTACACTAAATGAAATTAAGAAAAGATTTATTCATCTTCTGTATAATTTAGCCCACATTTGGCCCCCTTTCTTTCAAATTTTAATTTTTAGAATAATATACAATTTTTTTTATTTTTTTATTTTTTATTTTTTGTAGAATGTGGTTGAAGAAGAAGGAAAAAATTTCAGTCTATGTATAATATTATTTTATGAAAGATTGTATGGTAAAAAATAAGAGTGAGAAGAAAAAATTATTAAAAGAACAAAGGGGCCAAACGAGGACTTAGTTTCTTTCATTATTGTATTATGTGTATTCTTGTTTTAAATATATGTTTTTGTCGAATCTAACTACTTGTACAAATTTGTGACTAAACAATTTCTCTTGTTCAGATTTTTTTATCATTTTCTTCAGCTCTTATAGAAACTCGAAATCAGAATATGTAAATTATAGTTATAAAATGCCAATTAATCATTACATTTTACCTATTAAATCTGTCAAAATCTTGTGTTGACAATCCAATCAACTAAGACCCCTATGTGTTTAAATTAGATTCTCAACACAAGATTTTTAAAGGTTTACTACGTAAAACTTAATGGTGAATCTGCATTTTATGAATCTTATTTTCATATTCTGATGGTTCATGTGTTCAATGCAATTGTTCGTCAGAAATACATCAAACTTCTACCATTTTTCATAGGTAAGTGATTATTATCTATATCTTCCTTCTTCAGAGATTTTGTTCCTAAGCATATTTCAAGTTATTTATCACTAAATTTATTTTACACTATTTTTCATTTAGATTTAACAAAATTTCTTCTCTGTAGTGCTATTTAGTTACAATGCTTCTTCCTTATAATATCTTTGTACTCGTTAAATAACTTATAAATTTTTATTAATCTTTTAACCCCTAATTTTCTTTTAAAAGGGTTATATTAACTATGTTTAACTATCTTCTTTACAGATTTTCACAAAAGTATAAGGATTTCGTTATATGCCACCAAACTCTTTACAATAATACAAACACAACTCTATAAATTAATGAACAGGCTAGCACACTCACATTCCACTTATGTTTTGTAAAAAATCAGTACATTTGAACACAAGCTCATTTCTTGTTCTCTTGTCCATCAGATGACATTGATGTTATAATAAAACTTCATATGAGATGAACCAATCCATTCATTTCCAACAGGTAAAATAGGCAAATAGATCTACTTTTTATAATATCAACTAATAAATTTATTTTCTTACAACATTTCTATCAATGTAGTTACTATTCCAAGTATAATTTACTCAGTACTTTCTTTTCCTGTTACGCAAAAAAGCAGTAGGACAAATAAACACTGCATATGAGCTGAAAAACTATGATGAGCAGTATATAAAAGGTACATGTACTTAAAATCACCTCGTTCATTTACAAATTTCATTACTCACTTACATACTACTAAGAAATAATTGAATCCTACTATATACAATTATTTATTTCACAAATGCACCAACAATTACATTTTCACATGTTCTTGTATAATTGCAACTTCTATCATCTGAAGGAAAAAAGGACTCTTAAAAAAATTTCTCCTCAGAATTTTTTCCAGATACCTTCTACATACACGTAGTATGTACTATGATACAGTAAATAGAAGAAAATCTTCCATTTATTACAAGGAAAAAACAAAATTAACTTTATAGCAATTTTCCAGATACTTCTGACAATAGATATTTTACAATTGACACATGTTAATTTGTACTATTAATCCTTATCTTCTGAACATTTGAAAATGTGTATTGAAAAGTCAAAATATGTATATTAAAATAGGCTTCCTCCATAAATTTTCTATAAATAGCTACACTCAATACTTCATTTTCAGGTTTGTAACCATACAAACGTATTACAATTATCACTTTCACCTTCCAACACTTCAGAAATCCAAACTTCAATTTGCTGCTGGTAATTTTTTACATATCCAGTCTACAACTCTTTCTTAGTCTTTTGCATTAATAAATTCCTTACATTTGCCTAATAAATCCAGTTTACAATTATCACTTATAACTTCCAACACTTCAGAAATCTAAACTTCAATTTGCTGCTGGTAATTTTTTATATATCCAGTCTACAACTCTTTCTCCGTCTTTTGCATTAATAACTTCCTTACATTTGCCTAATAAATCCAGCCATAGTTTTATATTCATAACTACATCTTTTTACACTTTTAACTTATTTTTCATGCAAATGACAGATATAAAAAATGGTTGCAACTTACAAGTTTATCCCACAAATTATATCAGAGATAAACTAGTCTGCAAAGCTTATCGTTGCAGGAAAGCAGGCACCAAAAACTGCACGTAACTCTACAACTTGATATCAAAATCTTATCTTCATGGACTTGCAGGTTACTACATACTAATAATTACAAGAATCTTGTAGCTTTCACTATAATTATATTTTCTATTCACATATTTATCTCTTTTTAACATTGAACAGGGTAACAAAGTTACAGCTACAATGTATGATGCTAATATTACAGCCCTTAGTGATCAGCTGACACTCGGAAAGACGTACATAATCTCAAATGCAATGGTTAAAAATAACATAAGTGAATTTAAAAGTACATCTGAAGAGAAGATTTGGACTATAACAGGAAGAACAAAGGTTGAAGAGCTTAATGAGAATAACTTGAACTTCTTGTTTTCGAAGTACGAGCTCACTCCGTTTCATGCACTCGAACATCATATGGACAAAAACACGAACATAAGTAAGATTTCTACCATACTAACTTTACAACAAGTACTTCCATGTAATGTGCTATAGATATTTTGTTCGTGCTAACATTTAATACATACAAAACACTACAGATGAAAGTTTCCTGTTCTTCTTGCAGATATTATTGGTGTTGCTATAGAGGTTAGCCAAAAATGGATCATCCAAACTCATTTTGGTACCCAAGCCAATCTTTAAGATATCATATTGATAGATAAAAACTACCAGACAATAATGTTAACTCTTTGGGACACTTTTGTTGAACGAGAGTGCACTGCCATTGTTCAAAACCTACCAACAAAACTTGTGATATGGGCCATAAATCTTAAAGCATCTTCTTTCAATGGTAATCCAATCTCAAGATATTATTTTATTTAGAATAATATTAACCAAAAAAAAAAAAATACAGAGACATATTAATTATTGTTACTTTTCTTTCTTCCACAGGCATTACACTCTCGACTAAAGCCAATAGCAATATCTTTATTAATGCTGAATTGTTAGCTGTGACAGACTACAAAGAGTGGTATTCATACATACCTACAACACTTTTTAACTTCCCCCCTTTCTGTGAAAAAAATGAAATGCTGAATTTTGTGTTACATGTATAATTGTATAATTCTTTTCCTTAGGGTGCTAACAAACAAAGAAAAGCTTGACCAACTTATAGAAAGGAAGCCATTTGTTCCTATCAGTCCACCAAAGCTATCACCCCCTGCTGACAACAAATACACATCTATTGCACTATTACTAGGACTCTATTTAGGGGTTTTCTCTAAACTCCTTCATTTAATGTACATAGCATACATTTTCATTATATTCCACAATTATCATTATGAAACCACCAAACATCTATTATTCTGGCCTATATATTCATAATCTAATAACACGTATTTTTTCAACAGAGAAAATTTTATTGGATCAAGGCCCATTGGAAAATTATTACAATGCAACAGAGATTTTGGTATATGTCTTGTAGTAACTGTAAGAAAACATCGACTGCAGACTTGGGACAAATTCATAAATGTCGCTTCTGCAAGTACGAGCATGCAAAAGCCGAACCCCGGTAAATTAAACCTTTAAACATATATTTACGTATCTACTAACACTTATATTTCTTTTAAACAATAGACCATACCTAATTCAAACCAATTTTAACTCCAGTGCAAATGCTTTTGTTCGATTTGAAGATAAAACTGGACAATTGGATGCAAGTATCATCGGCAAGGCGACAGAAGCCTTATTGGAAACTAATGCCAACGTGATAATGGAACATTACCAACAGGTAAATCCAAAATACTAACATTCTTTCAGAAAACTTTTTCCCACACACAAATATACTCTAACGAGGTATATTATAACTATCACAGAACCCAAATACAGTGCTGAACAATCTTACCCAAACCAGTAGTGAAATAGAGTTGCTCTTTTATCTGAAAGCCATCCAAAAAAAAAAAGATCCACCTGAGTATCGTTATGAAATTATCTTTATCTTCAACCCTATAACATCAAGTGCTGATGTGGAATCCTCAAGTGCAATGATCGAAGTAAATCCTTCAACTATTGGCAGTGATGTGAAGGATTCAACTCAAATGAACACCAGTTTAGACACAAAAGCCAAACACAAGGTACACAACACAAATGCTGAACTTTCCACAAACATGAAAGAAATCACTGTACCTTCTGCAAAAAGACCTCTCTTCCAAAAACCAGATGAAAATATTCAAATGGAGTCAAAGGCAAAAAAAGAGAATACCAAAGCCTATGAGTCCGACGACCACACCAATATTATCGCTTTGAAGAAAACACATGAATGATAAAACATTTACATCACTTTTGTACCAGCGGGCAGTTGTTGTATAGTATACCCAAAAAAGCAACCTCATTTGCCTATGTAAAGGAGCTTACCTCAGTCTGTAATTAGAACTACACCAAGTATCAATAACTCTTGTCTTCCAAGTGAATGGGTTGCTTTACTTATTTTGAATCTATGTTCGTTCTAGAATATGCGAACACCATCAAATGCCAATGATAACTGCTTGCACAGTTGCTACTAATGATCTATGGAACTTTTTGGTTACCGTTATCAAATGGTCTTCAATTGTTCATTATTTAGTCTATTTTTTATTTTTCCTTGCTCCTTAAATTAAGATTTGATAACTTTAAATTGTTTGATTATCTTATGCATTTGATTTCTATCATGAATATATTACCTTTTCTCAGTAGGAAATTCACATCATCTATTGGGAAAAATTGCATAAAAAATAGTTTCCAAACACCAGACTGCTATTTATGTACCTAATTTAACATCAACAGAGTACATATAATGTCAATGTTCACTTTTTTTTTCTCAAAAACATTACATGACTTTGAACTTTAAAACATATTTCTCTTCTTCATATAAAAACCAGATGATAGAGATAGTGATTGTGTGATAGAACTAAATGTAATTGTGTGATAGAACTGAATGTAATCTTGGTGGTAATGTAATGAAGTTAAGTATTGACAATTGTAGATGAAATTCAATCAGTTGTAAGAGAAAACACAAATCAAAAAATGCTCAAAACATGTCTTAGGTACTCATTGCCTCATTACTGTTGTTTCTAAAAATTCCTTTACTCTCATTGTCGGCAATGTATAAATTCTTTTATTTTACAAACAAAACCAAGATTGAATACTTCTATGTATAAAACTACATGAAAATTTTTAACAGTATGTATATATATATATATAATTCATTTTTCACAACAAACATGCTAGCAATACCTTCAAAAAACCATGGCCCGTGCATTGGACGGGCACAAAACTAGTTGTATTAAAAAATTAAACAATAAAGTGAGAGTACATGGAATTGATCCCCCTCACATAAAAAGTGACCCTTCTACCATATGAGCTTCATGCCATAGTTTTGAAGCTTGGTACAATCATAAATTAATATTTAGTTATTATTTACGATGTTTAAAATTTAAAAGGAGGAGTGCTATTGAAAAGAATTGAACCTGTGTTCCGTTGCATGGAAAAGAGGCGCCTGTCCACTTGCTCCGTACTACCTTTTAACAATAACCTATATATCATTTTAACAAAGAAAATTCATTAACCTTCTTTCTCGCCGAATCCAGCATGGACGGCCGCACCGGCTTGCCAGGTGCTGGATTATTTTGGTAGAGTGGTTTTGGCAAATGGAGAATGGATGTGAAAATCACCATGGTGCTGATATCCAATACACTTGCATGCATCTTTGTAGCCTGCAGTTATTTCACTTCAAAAGACACCCAGATGTTCTTTCCTTCATTTCTGTCATGATGCTTTTTGTGCTTAGCCTAGCACAATTTATTCCATTATTGTTGAATTTTGAAGCTATCTTCATGGTAAGCCACACAATGGCGGATCCAGAATTTTGAGTGAGCACTAACGGTCATTGACCTTTGACTATCGGCCATAATAAAATATTAAAAATTAAATATAATAATTATTTTGCCAAAACTAAACATATGTAATTTTGGTATAAATGTTAACAATATTTACCAAATGACATAGTAGCTAGATTTTGTATAATTCAAAGGAAGAGCACATGTTCGAATCTTTGCAATGGTTTTAAAACCACTAAAACACACACACACACACACACACACACATATATATATATATATATTATGTTACATTTAGTGTCAAAATTCAACAAGTGTCATGATGGTCAAACTTTCAGTTATCTTAAAGATGGGTTACATGTTCAAATCCCCTTCTCATTGTAAAAATTATAGAACTAGAGAAATTGCACAATAAATTGGTTTAGAAGGGATTCGAACGGTAATGTTTGAAATTAAAATGAATTGCTAGATACATAACCTAAAACTATTATCTACTATCAACAACAAAAATTCGAGCGAATCTAGCACGCACGTCGCTGGTGCTCTCCAGATGTTAGATGCGCCACTGGTTAGAACTAGAGAAATTGCACAATAAATTGGTTTAAAAGGGATTCGAATGCTAATGTTTGAAACTAAAATGAATTACCAAATACATAACTTAAAACTATTATCTACTGTTCAATCTTTTCTGTGATACCAAAAAGGCTCTCACCCCTTTCTTTTACATTGGGACTACTTTTGTTCGTTTATTGCCTCGTGCACATGACCTTTACAGGTCTCATAGTTCTACTTGGTAATTCACTTGCATAGTAATGGACTGCTTTTCCACCACCTGGGATATTGTTGTGTGTCTTGGGGGTTTGATATTTGCTGTCATCATCTACATGCAGCAAGGATATGGTGGGTGTAGCTTTCTTCCAATACAGGCAGAGCTCTGCATACGAGGAAGTACCTGTACTCACCACTGAATCATTTATAGTTAACGGGTTTTGGTGAATCTGAATTGGTTTACCGTGAAATTTCTCGTCCCTCCTCGTAGGCCACACGCTTAGTTTTGGATAAATTGGCGCACATGAAAAGGGGCGTGTGCGTACATACTGCGGAAGTTACACTTTCTTGGCTGATTATTTGTGTTTTTTCACAAAACTTGTAATCCATATGTATCCAATTTCCTCGTTTCAGAGGTTTTTTTTGCATCTTGATGATGATTTGGGGCTTAATCGTTTGTAATGGTCACAAGAATCGAGATTAGAAGTTCACAATAAACAGAATGTGATTATCTCATCCTCCATATTCTCCAACTAATTCACAAATTTTACTTGCATATTTATCTATAAAACGATTTCCTATGATTGACGAGTGGACAAGAAAACTATGCTACATATGTATAACACGTAGAATACATTAAAGGGCTACCAAAGCATCCAAGACCTTAGTTTCTTCGTTCGACAAAGACGAGCACCACTTGTAGAACAGCTCACTAAAGGTATCCTCAAAGTTCACCTGCAAATCAAAAAAACAAATTATAACAGTGTGTGAATGATTCATCGGTAAGCATTTCAGCCTTCATGATGGTGTACAAATAATTTCTTGAACTTCTCCCGGAAATGAAGCCAAAGTGCCTTTTTAAATTCAAACTAAGCTTGCAAGTTAAAAACATTTATGGCATGGTATTGAACTCTCAAAATTGTACAGTATGGAGGGAGTGAATGTAAGAGAATATCACCTCTAATCCCATGTTAATCAATGTTGGATTTTTTGCCAGTAAGAATGCGAGAAATTTGGAGTCCCCTGCTCAATGCTTCGTTAAAAAGTATACTTGTCTGCATTTCTTGAAATCCAGGCATCCATGAGAGCAATGCCAAAGGAGTCATGACTATTAATCCAAAAACCATATCATACAACCGGGCCAAGGACACAACAGTTTCCCAAACGACGGACGACTGAAGGAAAGGTCTGAGCACCACGGCAATTTGTATCATGCCCCATCCCGTGGGGACAAATGCCAGTAAACTTTTAACGAAGTCGAGGAAGTTGAAATGGGTGAAGTGCAGAAGTAAAACAAGCACGAGTACCGACAAGACAATAACAAGAAACTGAAACTGCCGGTAGTATATGTGCTCCTTTGCAGCATATTTGTCCCGAGCATATGATATAACAATATAAATGGCAACTACCACAATCATGTAGATCCAAGACAGCAAGTAAACAGCAATACTTGTGTTACCACCTGTAATATTCAAATGGTACACAATTCCATATTGAAAAAAGAAGAAACGAAGATTTAAAATAATCTCCAGCAATTTTCCCCATATACCAGTTGTTCTCAAGTGCTCCTGTTCCTCGTACCACCACGTTTCCCAACTCTGGTCTGCTTTTACTAAAATTCCTCCATACCATATCCAGTTCATAAAATCATCAAAGTCATACACAGTTTTCAGCCAGTCAAAGCCCGAAGGGTTGAACACAAAGGGTGACATAATCCACGACAGCACAAGGAACCAACTTGAGATAGTCATGGCAATGTAAACAAATGTATTTGGAGACAATGGACTTTGAGAAGCATAAACAATTAAAATAATTCCAAGTTCAATTGCCTTTACAAAATGGCTACGAGCATATAACCTATAATTTTCAGCAAAGCTCTTGTGCTGCACAACAAAACCACGACCAGTAGCTTGGTACTTGGCACCCCCATGAAGTATAGTTCGGCCAAAGAAATGCGAACGGGTTCCCATTGAGAAAGTATAAAACAATGAAAAAAGCTGGAACTGCATTGTAATAAAATCCCAAACTGCAGGAAGGAATCCATGTTCCAGTGAGTTCTCCACAATCATTGGGAGGGCAGTGAAAACACCAATTTGGATGATGAACTGCTGATTCAAGATTGCACCAAGTGCTTCATTGTTGCTGGAATTAGCTCTGTTTCGGATATTTTCCTCTAGTCCACTAAGGGCAAGATAGAAGCGTCCCCATAGAAATGCATAGACCATTATCACAACCATCATGTTGCTGAAAAAGTAGCCCACCGTAGTGTAAAATACTGAAAGCATGCGAAAAAAGTCAAGTCTATGACCCAGCCTGTATATATCTCTGCTCAAAACCTGCTCACCATTGCCACTTGCAACCTTGGCCTCAAACATGGAGATCTGGTTTAATCCAACATCTCGTCCCTTACCCACTTGTATGTATTCATGATGTGTCACATTGCCTCCTCGCAATGTGCAATTGAACCCAGCGTATATATCTTCACTTATATTAATCACTCTCGAGGCCTTGCTGATGCCACCTCGAGTCAAAAACCAGAACCTATCAAAGACATCAGGGTGACCATAGTGCATGCGGACCTTGAGAGGATTTGCTAAAACGCGTTGCCCCAGAGTGACAAAACTCATCTCCTGAGCAGACATGAACCTAGCAAGTGATGACACAGAACCAGTAAATATATTTTCCCGAACTCCGAGAATGGTTGGCTTCCTGATACCACAAGTGGTTTTGAATTCCTCCAACAGATTCCGCATCTTGAGTGCTTCCTCAAAATAGTTGTCTTGGTTCATGTCAATAGTCTGAACAGCGTCACCACGAGTAAAGATTATTGCATGATTTTGATTTTCAGGCTTACCCTCCCCAAGCTTCAGAGGCCCAGGCAACTTAATCCGATAGATTTCCACTTCTTCATCCAGTTGTTGATCATACTTCACTAGTACAGAGTAGTACTCCACTTCCTCTCTTCCCAAGTAAATCTCGTCAACATATGCAACTCGAAGGGCCTCATTGTTTTTCATCAAGTATAAGATCTCCTCAGCACGGGGATCACCCTTTCCCTTATGGACCCCATACATTTGGCAGGCGACTACATAAGTGTATTTCATCATAGCAGAACCAAACTCGTGTCCTTTGAAAAGTAAGCTCGCACTGCTACTTGCTCTGTCGAGATTACTAGAATTTGGCATACTCGAACCCAGACCATTCAAGCCACCATTCTGTCTCTGCGATCCAAGCGAAGCAATTTCTTGTGATCCTTGTCTTATGTCCATCTCCGATGCAGAGTCTAGGTAGGAAAGCATCTTAAGAGCCTTGTAGTAATACATCATCCCTCTTATGGTACGAGACAGTGTTTGGCCTCTGTATGATGCCCAGAGTCTGAGATCCCTTGCTTTTGTGTTCCAGATCTCATTGTCATCCTGCATGCCGTTCCTATGCATACGCTCCACAAAATTTTCCCACTCGTCTTCATAAATTTTCTGCAGATAAAACAAGGTAGAAACACCATCTTCGTTTGGACTTCTAAGCATTTCTTTTCCATACAAAACTTCTTCGTCATAGTAAGGAGTCAAGACACTGAAAGCCAGGGTTTTGTCAACTTGAGGAGCACGTGGCATGTTCATAAATAGTGAATTGCTAAAGAAAGCAACCCGCCGTCTCGCCTCTATATTTTTTGGGACATTGTGCATTGAATCTCGAGAACTAAGCAGAGTGTGCAAACGTCGCAACTGCCTGTAGAAGAATGCATTTTCAGCATCAGGTAATTGAATAGCATTTTCAAAAAGCAGCCCGGCATCACTACTTGGGTTAAGAGATGCCAAACCTTCCTGCCTCAACTGAGCCATGGACTTCTTCACCTTTGGAAACTCCCGAACAGAAAGCTCGTACAAGGCCTGCAATATATTCACCACTCTACCCATATCTTTCTCAGGCATGAGAAGAAGCTCAATAAGAGATATCAGCTGTTCATGAATCTGATGTAAAACCGTAGTCTTATAGGCCACTGTGAACTTCTCAAATTGAAGATTATCATCAACCTCCATGAAAAATTTTGCGGCAATTGAATGCTCGTCTGAACCATATTTAATGATCTCAAGAAGCAAGTATTTGATGCTATCATAAGCTTCAATAACTGCACACCGCCTATACTCATTCTTGCAAATCCGTAACCACACCCACCGATCAGGTAAATCTGCTAGTTCTCTCGCCTGGCTCAAAGCGAGCAGCAATTCATTGCAAAGTAGAAAACATGGCCAGCGTATAACTTTGATATCCCAACAGTTAGGTGGCAGTTCCATTAGCTCCAATTCTTGATCACTTATGAGATCTTCTTCCCTCATAGTTATGATTATCTCATTCCATATTAATGCAAACCTGGTTGCTTCAACCTGGTTTGATTCAATCTTCCTGTATGGTTGTCCAAGGCCATATCGGAGCTTAACCCGGTGAATAGCATCGCGTAGCTTGTACACAACTGTTGCCTCTGAACTAAGAGTATGATCCTCTGGCTTCAGATTGAACTGCAATGCACTTGCAAAGAACTGGAATCTAAGTCTTAGCTGCTTTATATTTCGAATCTCGCCTATATGTGAGAACAATCCAATTGTTGACCCAGCAAGAGAGGAAAACACTGTATACCAGATTTGCATATCCACTAGATATATCAAGACAACTGGAAGCCACAACATTACTACTGCCATTCTGTTGGTGCTAGTGAAGAATTCATGCCAACTGTATCTTACACCCCTGAGATTCAAGAGAGCTCTTGTTGGGTCAACAAGAGGTTTGATTTGAAGAAAGTAACTAAACGAGAATTTTGAAGCCAACACTGCAACCCAGAACACAGTGTACTTCACATTGTCAACAAGACCCTCCCTAACTCCTCTGCCTACAAATATTCTGGTGTGAAACCACCATGTTAAAATATACAAAATAGTCCAATCTGCTTCTTCAATAACATTGCGAATCCAGGGAAGAATGAACAGTACTAGAGCAAGTAACTCTGGGATGACAAACACTAAAGCAGCCTTAAGAAATGTCAGAATTCTTTGGTTCGCCTCATATGACCACATCTCATCAGAATTCTTCTGGCTCCAAATCCTCCCATAGAACACCCCAAACACGATAGTCCAAGTAAGGGCAACCATACTTTTCAAAACCATCCTCACACCAAGCAATTTTGTGTCCCTTGATACCAAACTATACTGAGTCCCAGCATCAAGAATTGATTGAACAAACCTTAAACCAGCCCAGGTCATAAAAATTGTAAGCAACTGAACTTGCACATCCCTAGTCTCCAATGCCTGCCATGGATAATCAGTCCTCTCCCACGCAACAATAGTAGCAGCCTGAAAAAACAATATCAACAACACCCACAGCCTATCAAAGCTTCTGTACACATTCCAAAATGTCCGCTGTTCCACGAATCCCGTCTTTCCCACCCTCTTATCCGCAGTGTAGAAAAAATTGCTGCTAAGGTCAATAGGCCATTTTATCCTCTGAAAACATCTCCTACTCCAAAAATACTCATTTATATCATCATAGTTTCTCCAAGCTGAATGTGGGGCAGTCCCATTCCTACTCCTCGCAACCTCACCCTTAATTGTCACATAAAATGGTGTAACAACATTATTCAAGAAGCCAAGTCGACCACATGTGGAGGGAACAAAAAGTTGTCCAGTATTCTCATCGATGTGATCATCAAGAATGTAATTGAGTTCCATTGCCATGTGATGATATATATAACACAAACATTCGGGGGCAAATCGCAAATTTGCGGCTTCACCCCATATCAATAAATAGAGACATACATACAAGAGCTCATTACGCAGAAGGTTGGAGTTGTGGCGTTTTGGAAGCCGAACTTGAGACCTTTTCCCCAAATATGAGCACCAGGAAGTGTAATTCTTCAGAAGCTTTTGCCGGAAGCGATGAAGAACCCCCGGGTCGAGGCTATCCGCGGAGGCCGGCGGCGGCTGGAGACGCATTTGAGAGTTGGCCAGGTGGAGCACCAAATGCTCTCTCTGGTTCTTGACGTTGTCTTCCTGGAACCCGAAGAAGAGCCCCAGCCAGTCCAGGAGGCCCATGTTGTCAGGCCACGGGGTAAACGGCGGTTTTCGAAGGTCTCCAGCAGCGAGTATGGCTGAGCTGGCGGCGCGTACCTCTGGGTACCGAAGGGAAGAGTGGTCTATCAAAAAATTGTTGATTGGAATAATGTTGAAGGGCGGAAGCGTTTCAGGACCACGACCGCGCGTGAGCATCGTGCGTCGCCTGAGACTCATACCATCGGCCTTTTGAACAAATTCCAATTTATGGGTTCTTCAAATTCTACTATCTTCAACTTCTAAAACTCACAAACAGTAAACCCACACTTTCAAGAGTTTCGACTTCCGACACACACCTCTCTCTCTATAACTCTAAATATATCCATCTGTATACTCCATATGGTTGAATGAATAATGGAGCGTTGGATGGAGTTTAGTACACTTTCAAGAGTTCCTGACACACACCTCTCTCTCTATAACTCTAAATATATATCCATGTGTACACTCTATATAGTTGAATGAATAATGGAGCGTTGGATGGAGTTTAGTGTGGAGAACATGGAGCTTTTTGATTGACTGGTTTTGGCCAACGTGGCTTGGTGCAGCCTGGATGTTACAGGTGGCGAAGGAGTGTAGACGATGATGACGCGTCTCACGGGTCAAGACTAATCACTTAAATCTAATGAGAAAAAGAAAAGAAGAAATACTACAAATTTACACGTGCAAGGCATTCTCATCGAAAAATACTTTTCCTTTTCTTATTTTATTATTTTCATTATCCGTTTGTCCAAACAGATGCATCAATTTTTGTCTTTCAAGGTCTCCGGTAGAGATGGCAATGGGGTCGAGTCGAGTCGGCTTGATCTTTTGACGAGCTCTGCTCGGCTCGGCTTGGCTTTATCCTTTATTATTATCATTACACGAGCTCGTGATTTTTTTATTTTTTTTGGTAAATTTGTACAATTTTTAACTTTTTTTTATAAATTTGCATTTTTTTTACGAGCCCACGGGTTCGTAGAAAATGGCTCATGTGTTCGACGAGCAAAACAGGCTCGACTCATGGGATTGAGCCCCTTACTCGGTTTGGGCTTGGGCGAGCCGCCCACACGTCAAATTTTAACGAGCCGACAAGCCACTCGACTCGTTTGACATCCCTAGCCTTCTGTCTACTTTTATTGGGAAGATAGAGATGCCTCAACTTTGTATATAAAAATGAGACCACATTTGGTTGTCCTATGTGTTCAAATTGTTAAGATATTTATCGTTGTGTATTTTGTATAATTAATATGATGTTAAGCTGTCATGACTTTCACACAAGGGCCAAGTGATGAGAGCTTAACATAAGCCATGGATGAGTTAGAAGTAGGGATATCAACGAGTCGACTCGAAACTCAAGGATCGAGCTCGACTTGCAACAACAATCCACTCTTTTTTTTTCTTTTTTTTTTTTCAATTTTTTTTTTTTTTAAATTTTTTTTTTTTTTTTTTTTTCTTTTTTCCCTTTTTTTTTTTTTTTTTAATAAGGCCCGAGTCGGCGAGCCACACGGGTCGGTTCGAGCTAAGTTCGATACTCAAAATGGGGCTCGACTCGAGCCGGCTCGAGCTTTTTTTGGACCGAGCCACATGCAGCCTGAGTCGGCGAGCCCAATTGACATCTCCAGTCGAAAGCCAAGACCCTTAAGTTGATCCTCGTGCCTTAGTTGACTCACATATTGTGGAAGAGATCGTAGACTATTAGCTGGAGTTCAATACCAACGAAACAAATGGGGTGAAACTAGCAAGCATAGAGCTTTGACTGGGTCTTGAACCAAGAAAGAGATTTATCAAGGTCCACAACAACCTCTTTGACCAAATCGACCTCCTTTACTGGGAGTCTCCTAGGGAACCTATGATTCAAAATTAGAGGATTTCGAATACACGATGCCTCGAGTGTAAGTCAAGACTAGGTGTCAAGGACCGCAGCTTTACTTATCCCCTTGACACTATCGAGCAAACAGGCTCGTTGGCAGGAATTCCTTTCGGAGTTCAATTTTATGTTAGAGTATCGTCCCGGCTCTAGTAATCATGTTGCTGATGCTCTTAGTCGACGGGCCGATTTAGCTACCATCTGCTCTATAGCTGCTCTTTCAGGGAGCGCAGTCTTCACGAACACTAGAGACCAAATTCGGACACTTATGGAGAAGGACCCGGCTACCCAATATTTGGTCGACCTTATCAAGCAGGGTAAAACTCGACAGTTCTGGCTAGATGGANATTTTATTATTTTCATTATCCGTTTGTCCAAACAGATGCATCAATTTTTGTCTTTCAAGGTCTCCGGTAGAGATGGCAATGGGGTCGAGTCGAGTCGGCTTGATCTTTTGACGAGCTCTGCTCGGCTCGGCTTGGCTTTATCCTTTATTATTATCATTACACGAGCTCGTGATTTTTTTATTTTTTTTGGTAAATTTGTACAATTTTTAACTTTTTTTTATAAATTTGCATTTTTTTTACGAGCCCACGGGTTCGTAGAAAATGGCTCATGTGTTCGACGAGCAAAACAGGCTCGACTCATGGGATTGTCGAGTCGAGTCGGCTTGATCTTTTGACGAGCTCGGCTCGGCTCGGCCTGGCTTTATCCTTTATTATTATCATTACACGAGCTCGTGATTTTTTTATTTTTTTTGGTAAATTTGTACATTTTTTAACTTTTTTTTATAAATTTGCATTTTTTTTACGAGCCCACGGGTTCGTAGAAAATGGCTCATGTGTTCGACGAGCAAAACAGGCTCGACTCATGGGATTGAGCCCCTTACTCGGTTTGGGCTTGGGCGAGCCGCCCACACGTCAAATTTTAACGAGCCGACAAGCCACTCGACTCGTTTGACATCCCTAGCCTTCTGTCTACTTTTATTGGGAAGATAGAGATGCCTCAACTTTGTATATAAAAATGAGACCACATTTGGTTGTCCTATGTGTTCAAATTGTTAAGATATTTATCGTTGTGTATTTTGTATAATTAATATGATGTTAAGCTGTCATCACTTTCACACAAGGGCCAAGTGATGATGACTTTCACACAAGGGCCAAGTGATGAGAGCTTAACATAAGCCATGGATGAGTCAGAAGTAGGGATATCAACGAGTCGACTCGAAACTCAAGGATCGAGCTCGACTCGAGTAAAATTAAACGAGCTTTTTTCCAGTCCAAGCGGAGCAAAAGCTCAGCAAAAAAAAAAAGGCTGGACCCGAGTTTTCGACTTGGGCCTTAACGAGTCGAGCCGGCTAGATCTTCTCTCTCTCTCTCATATTTTTTTATTGGCATTGTTGCTACCTTACTAAAACAAGGCAGCAAGCGCTGCCTTTTTTTTTTTTTTTTTCTTTTCTTCGTTTCTTTTTTTTTTTTAATAAGGCCCGAGTCGGCGAGCCACACGGGTCGGTTCGAGCTAAGTTCGATACTCAAAATGGGGCTCGACTCGAGCCGGCTCGAGCTTTTTTTGGACCGAGCCACATGCAGCCTGAGTCGGCGAGCCCAATTGACATCTCCAGTCGAAAGCCAAGACCCTTAAGTTGATCCTCGTGCCTTAGTTGACTCACATATTGTGGAAGAGATCGTAGACTATTAGCTGGAGTTCAATACCAACGAAACAAATGGGGTGAAACTAGCAAGCATAGAGCTTTGACTGGGTCTTGAACCAAGAAAGAGATTTATCAAGGTCCACAACAACCTCTTTGACCAAATCGACCTCCTTTACTGGGAGTCTCCTAGGGAACCTATGATTCAAAATTAGAGGATTTCGACTACACGATGCCTCGAGTGTAAGTCAAGACTAGGTGTCAAGGACCGTAGCTTTACTTAGCCCCTTGACACTATCGAGCAAACAGGCTCGTTGGCAGGAATTCCTTTCGGAGTTCAATTTTATGTTAGAGTATCGTCCCGGCTCTAGTAATCATGTTGCTGATGCTCTTAGTCGACGGGCCGATTTAGCTACCATCTGCTCTATAGCTGCTCGTTCAGGGAGCGCAGTCTTCACGAACACTAGAGACCAAATTCGGACACTTATGGAGAAGGACCCGGCTTCCCAATATTTGGTCGACCTTATCAAGCAGGGTAAAACTCGACAGGTCTGGCTAGATGGAAAACTAGTGAAGACAAAGGGAACCGCCTATATGTTCCTAAGGGTGGAGATCTGAGGAAATCACTAATCACGGAATGCCATGACACAATTTGGGCGGGGCATCCTGGAGAGGAACGCACTTGTACACTACTACAACGTGCATACTACTGGCCTCAAATGCGAGACGACATTGCAACATATGTAAAAACTTGTCTTATTTGTCAGCAAGATAAGGCAGATCATCAGAAAAAGGCGGGCTTGCTGGAGCCCCTTTCCCTTCCATCCCGGCCATTTGAAAGTGTATCGATGGACTACATTATTGGGTTGCCAAAAGTTGAGGATTTTAGCACTATCATTGTCGTGGTGGACCGTCTATCAAAATATGCAACTTTCATTGCAGCGCCTAAGTATGTATCTGCGGAAGAGACAGCTCAACTCTTCTTCAAACATATTGTCAAATACTGGGGGCTGCCTAAGGACATCGTCAGTGATCGAGATCCTCGTTTCACTGGCATATTTTGGACTGAGTTGTTCAAACTTCTTGGTTCAACTTTGAGCATGAGTTCCAGTTTTCACCCACAATCTGACGGACAGAGGGAGCGCTTCAATTCTATGCTAGAAGAATATTTTCGGCACTTTATCTCTACTTCGCAGAAAAACTGGGTAAAACTTTTGGATGCGGCCCAAATTTGCTTCAATGCCCAAAAGAGCTCTTCCATCAATAAGAGTCCTTTTGAGATTGTTACTGGCCAGCAACCGCTACTCCCTCATACAGTGGATATTGAACGATGTACCAAGTCCCCTCAAGCAAAGAGCTTTTCTCAAGAGTGGAAACGAAATATTGAAATTGCTCGGAGTTATCTTGAAAAAGCTCAAAAACGGTATAAAAAGGCTGCAGATCTAAAGCGCCGTTTTATTGAATTCAATGTTGGAGATCTGGTAATGGTTAAGCTTCCCGACAGAAATGTTTACAAACCAACAAAAGGGAAGGACTCAAGATTGTCACCAAAATACATTGGACCATTACCCATTGTGAAGAGGATTGGAAGAGTTGCATACAGAGTTGAACTCCCTTCATGGTGTAAAATTCACAAGGTCCTTCATGTTAGTGTGTTGAAACCATACTTTTCGGATAAGGAGGACGTATCTAGAAATGACCCAAAGCGACCTGTATTTGAACTGAAGAAAGCTGGAAAGAAGGTTGCTGAAGCTATTCTTGACCATCGAATCACTCGAGTTTCTAGAAAAGATCATCAGGAATACTTGGTCAAATGGATGGGATGCAGCAGCGAGGAGAATACTTGGGAAAGAGAAAAAGATCTCGGGGCCTTCAAATCATTAATTGAAGCGTATCATGCATTGATGGCACCGAGGACGTCGCCAAAACAAATGGGGGAGAATGTCAAGGACTGCAGCTTTACTTAGCCCCTTGACACTATCGCAGCCGCAGTTTGCCCAACTTCGGCCGCACATTGTAAATATTACTTTAAGTTTGAGTTGTAATTTTCGTTTCATTGTAATAGTTATTTTAATTGTAAAATAGCTCTGAT